CATCATCTCTAAGATCTGCAGAAACGTGAAAGCAGGCAGGGGAGTCGAAAAGCACTACATTGACCAAAATCCATTCTCTGATTGGATGTGCCTACACATAAGCTAACCAGATAGGCTATTTAGAAGTGGCCATTCCATGTGACTGTGTTGGGGAGCTCATTCAATCTTCTTTGGCTGCTTTTTGCCAGAGCAAAATATAGGAACGTTGGCAGTTAACAATCCAGTCTCGTCTTTTCTGAACCTATAACTACAGGAGTTTTACTTTGGCTTCCTGAATGTAAGGGTAATATGAGTCAGAGTTTAACTATTAAATATGGTTTGGTCATTGTTCCTTGTATTCTGTTTTTTTCTGTGAGAACTGATGAACTAGAAGACTGATTTGACAACCATGCTCAGAATGCAGCTTGGAGAGAGAGCGATAACCTATATAAAAGAAAACTCTCAAAGAAAAGTTGGAATTTGGAGGGTAGCACAAATCTGTCTTATCAGATTTGTAGAATGAAATAAAGGAAAGAATGGGGGAGAGGTAGACAAGAAATGTTCCAAGAAATAAAGATTGCAACTTTGCCAGGATTCCTGAATGACTCAGACTTATGATATTCTATGAATCCCATGCAAAAGAATTACATGTTAATAAATATAAATAAATACTGCTTAAATAAACACAAATTAATGTGTTATTTTAGGTATAAAAATAGTAGAAATGTAACAGAGGAATCTCCATAAAATGAAGAGATTCCAGGCTCCGTGTCCCACCTAATGAGGCTGGTGCTGAGTGGCCAGGTGGAAATATTTAACACTTGAGATACAGGAAAAGAGACACAGGAGGAGAGAAACATGGAGTAGGGAGACATGTGAAAAAGGGTGTGCTTGCTTCTCAGCTTTGGACTTGCACAGAGACCTGGAGGACTTGGAAGAGATATGTGGAGTTGTGGTATGTAGATACTTGGAAGAGATATGGGTGAGAGACAAATGGGAAAGTTGAGAATAGCTGTCTTTATCTTGCTTTGTACCTTAATCTTGTTCATTTTGCTCTGGCAAAAAGCAGCCAAAGAAGATTGAATGAGCTCCCCAACACAGTCACATGGAATGGCCACTTCTAAATAGCCTATCTGGTTAGCTTATGTGTAGGCACATCCAATCAGAGAATGGATTTTGGTCAATGTAGTGCTTTTCGACTCCCCTGCCTGCTTTCACGTTTCTGCAGATCTTAGAGATGATGGCTGACTCCTTTACTATATAGCACACTCTGAATAAGTGACCTGCTTTCACTTGGGTGATAGTGTTTCAGCACCAGTTAGGGCTGTTCAACTATTAAATGCTTCTATTTGCATTTCTTTTTCAATTTTTATATACTTTCAGTTTTAGAAGTTCCATTTTAACTTTTTCAAAAATGCTGCATCATTTTTATAACCTCTTTTTCTTTTGCCATCTCTTTATCTGTAAGCATGTTAAACATTTTATCCAATGATTCTATTATCTGAAGTCTTTATGGAACTGCTTTTATCATTTACTGTTTCTATTATCTCTGGTTTATGGTCTTTTTATTTTCTTGAATAATCTATTATTTTAAAAATTGATTTATGATCTTTTATTTTCTTGAGTAGTCTCTTCTTTTTTAAATTAATTATTATTATAAGCCCAAGTGCGTTCTACTCTATGCAAGAGTTGCCTTCACTTTGACCTGAGGCACATTCTCTAGGAAACATTTGCATTTTCTTCTTAGGAGCACATGGGAGGATCTAGAGTTACTTAAAATGAAGTTGTTGTGTCATGTCAGCCTGTTGATAGTGATGTTCATGCCTAGGAATTCCTGAGGCACTTACCCTGCTGGTTTTCACTTGTAGCGAGCCAGACTGAAACCCCCACCCCCCACCAACATCACTTCCTGCACCAATGTTGTAGCTGGACAAGCCTTGGTTCTTATTATGTTTGTAGGACACACCTTAGTAAAACCAGATTTATTACTCACAGTATGCCTGAGGGCCACACAGAAAGATTGCAGGTAGAGGAAAAGGCAGGGAATATGGACCTGGGATTCTTTTTTTACTAGATTTTGAGGGTGGTATGCCTATGGTTTCATGGGTTCATTCTTTATTGATGAATTTTAAGCACAACAGCAGAAATTAGGGTGCAAGAAGATAAAATCAGAGTCAGTCCGGTGGCCAGTTATCCAGGTAACTCAGGACTTTCTAAAAGGGGAACTTCATGTGTCAAGGTGACCTGACTCTTTATCTAGCTGTTTTACTAGTAGCTGTGTCATAAAGTTGACGATATTTTAATTCAGAATGTTGTCTTTGAAATGGGTACCTCAGCAATCAAAAATTTAATTCCAAATAAATAATCTTATCTCTCACCTCAAGAAATTAGAAAAATAAGAGCTAACAGAACCAAAATAGAAGAAGGAAGTAATAAAAATTGGAGGAGTAATGAAATAGAAATCAAAATGACAGTCCAAAAGGTTAATGAAACCAAAAACTGACTCTTAAATAAAGAAACCCCTAGTTCAGCTCATGGATGAAAACTGGGGAAAATGCAAATAAACAGGATCATGAATGGAAGAGGAGAAACTATAACAGACATTGCAGAAATTCAGAGAATAGAGTTTATCATGAATATCTATATGCTAATAAGTTCAACAACCTAGAAGAGATGGACAAATTCTTTGAATTATACAACCACCTGAGACTGAATAGGGAAATAAATAGAAAATCTCAGTAGACCAATCAGAAGCAATGATTGTAATCAAAATACACCCTAAGAACAAAAACCCCAGATTAGATGGCTCCACAAGTGAGTTCAACCAAACTTTCCAATACCTATCCTGCTCAAACTCTTTCCAAAAATTGAGAAAGAGGAAATAGTTCTAAACACATTTTATAAAGCCAGCATTACTCTAATATGAAAACCAGATGAAGACAACACACAAAAAGAAAACACAGAACAATTTCCTTAATGAACACAGGTCCAAAAATTCTCAATAAAATCGTAGCAAACCAAATCCAACAATGCATTAAAAGAATCATATATTACAACCAAATGGAATTTATGCCAGGCACACAACATTGGCTCAACATCTAAAAATCAACCAGCATAATCTACCACTTAATAAAATGAAGATAAAGATCATATGATCATACCAATAGATGTTAAGAAAGCATTTTATAAGATTCAACATCCATTTATGAAGAAAATGTTTAAAAAAAAACCTGGGGATAAATGGAACATATCTCAACATAATAGAGGTCATATATCACAAATCCGTAACTCACATTGTTCTCAATAGTGAAAAACTGAAAAAATTTCCACTAAGATCTAAGACAAGGCAAGGATTGCCACTTTCACCACTACTATTCAACACAGAATTGAACATTCTAAATAACACAATTAGGAAAGAGAAAGATATAAAAGGGTTGCAAATTGGGAAAGAAGAGGTGAAGTTATCATTATTGCAGGCAACATAATAACATACAAAAAGAATTCTAAAGCCCCACTGAAAAATGAATTAAAACAAGTCAGTTCAGCAAAGTGGCAGGTTACAAAATCAATGCACATGTGTCATGTGCACCTGTCTTCTTAGGAGAGCACTACATGAAAGTAAAATCCTGTCATTGCCTTTGTGCAAAATTAAGAATCAAATGTACAGTAGGTTCCCTCTTATCAATAGGGGATACATTTCAACACTCTCAGTGAATGCCTGAAATCACAGATACTACTTAACTTTATATATATACTGTTTTTTTTCCTTGTATATACACACCTATGATAAAGTTTAACTTATAAAGTAGGCACAGTAAGATGCTAACAATAGGGCCTCCCCAGTGGCGCAGCGGTTGAGTGCTGGGTTGGGAAGCTGCACGCAGCCTCTGCAGCACCAGTTTGATCCCCGGCTGCTCCCAGGCCACTGGAGGAGGGTCCCACATAGCGCGCAGACCTCTCCTGCCGCCCGCTGCTCCCCTCAGCAGTGTACTTCGGTCCTTCTGCCTGCTCTGCTCCCCGCTCTGGCTCTAGTGAATTCTCTCACCCTCCCGCGCTTCTGACTGTACCCAGTGCTTGTATAAATAAATAAAGATAAATCTTTAAAAAAAAAAAAAAAGATGCTAACAATAACTAATGATGATAAAATACTTTTAATGATAAACTGTAGTAAAAGTTATGTGAATGTGCCCTCTATCACTCTCAAATATATTATTTTATGTATTATTTTCAGACCATGGTTGACTGCAGGTAACTGAAACTACAGAAAGCAAAACTGCCAATAAAGGTAGACAAATACATTAGTAACAATTGTTTAAGCTGAGAATATAGTCAGACATTGACTACTAATAAGTATCTTCTAAATTTTTCTAGAAATTCTTCTAAAGCTAAAAAAAAAGGCTTTATTTCATAAGAAGTAATTATAATACCAGGAAAGCATGTTTTAAGAAACTAAATTGAACTTATTGTCTCCTTTTGCAGGATTTAGCAAGCTTAAGTGTAAAAATGTATTTTTAATAAGGCATAGATTACAGAAATTATGAGTTGGGCTTCAAGATCTTGGGCCATCTGTTTGCTGCTTCTTCCAAAATATTTCTTTAAATTGTAACATATACTTAAAGAAAGTTTATCTGTGTTAGAGTCCAAATTCTTACAGAAACACCAGTGACTGGGTCTAATTAAAATTTGCAATGTGTCTTTTTCCTGCCAATGTTCTGTATGTCAAAGCTCCAATTCATTTTATTCAGTATCTCTGTATTTTTTTTTTTAAGCTTTCATCTGTTTATTCAATAAGACATTTCTTTCAGAGTTTAGAAATAGGTTGGATACCATTAGTCTTTGTGAATAATACAGGCAACCATTTTTTAAAAATCAACTTCACTGTGTTTTATAGCACTGTTTTGTTAAGAGTGAACCCTTACCAGTATTCTTGAAGTGTATATGATGGAGAACTGAGGTGTCAATACATTAGGGATCATGTATAATAGATAAAATTCCTTAAGTTTTCTTACTGACTTTATACAATCAGTGTATGTATTTAGGCAAACTGAATTCCTTATTAAGCAAACATTTTTGCATATGCTGCTTTCTCTTTATCTTTCTGTGCCTTTATCTTTTGTTTGACTTTCAGCAATTCCACTTGGATAGCCTTATCTTCTGGTGCTATCTCCTGAGCTTTCTTAAGGTCAGCCAGTGCTTGATCATATTCTTTTAATCCTTGCCATCCTTGAGCTTTACGGTACAGTGCTTTGGTATTTGATGGGTCTACTTTAAGAGCCTCCAAACAACTGTCTATTGCTCCCTGCCAATTTGACATCTTCAGTTTACAAGCACCAATATTCAGCACACAGCTTAAAGCTACAGGTTGCAGCTTTGGTCTATCTGCTTTCTCAATAACAGCCTTTGAACCTTCCACATACCTTAAAACTTTTGTATATTTTTGAATGGCCATCTCCCAGTTCTGAGATTTGAAAAATGTATTTCCAATGTTTTTCAAGTCTTCTGCTATTAATAAGATTTTATCTACATCTTTTAGATCTATATCTGCATCCTCAGGGAAATCTGGATAATTGTCACCAGAACCATCTTTGGGGAATATTCCCCAATCATCCCCTTCCTTCAGTTCTCCGCATTCTGCAATAACGCACAATTTGGCAGGCTTTTCACCATTCACGTCTACATTTTCCAGTATTCTTGCCACACCCATTCCTTTAATTACTTGACCAAATACCACATGTTTCCCATCCAGATGAGGAGTTGGAACTGTTGTGATAAAGAACTGAGAACCATTCGTATTAGGGCCGGCATTTGCCATGCTCAACAAACCCTCCTGATCATGCTTATAATGGAAATTTTCATCTTCAAATTTTTCACCATAAATACTTTCTCCACCTGTCCCATTCTGATTTGAAAAGTCTCCACCCTGAATCATAAATTTCTTAATAATTCGATGGAAAGGGCATCCCTTGAAATGGAGAGGTTTCCCAGTGGTGGATCCAGTGCCTTTTTCTCCAGTACATAATGCACGGAAATTTTCTGCAGTTTTGGGTACAATATCTGCAAACAATTCTAAGACAATTCGGCCAACTCGCTCCCCTCCGACGTCTACGTCAAAGAAGACTCTGGGATTACTAGGGCTGGACGGCTTGGCCCGGGGGGACGGTTGCGACATTGTGCCGTGCACCCGCGTTTGCAGCGAGCTCGGGAGACCGCGTGGCCGCAGCGCAGCTCCCACCGCGAGCGCCGCTCCCCGCGCAGGGCTGGCGGCGGCGCTCTCAGTATCTCTGTATTAACGGTACTGAGAATACAAAGTCAAATAAGATTGGTGCTCATATGCTAGTGAAGAGTAAAAAAGCATCGAAGAAGAAAACAGACATTCATCTGTACTCTAACCTAGCAACCAAATTTTATGAAGCATAAAGGGAAGAGGCAATAATTCAAACTGAGGATTTAGGAAAAGGGTCATAGGAGAAAGCATCATTTTAAGTTTGAAAAGCAGATAATAATTTGATAGAGCTTTTCTGACAGGGATAAGATCTCTTTTCTAGTCAGGCTGACCAAACAGAGGTCTGCCTTCCAACTGAGAGATAGTTAAGAATTCCAGAGATTCTTTATCCACTGGGAAAAATGGGACCTGAGCCAAGAAAATTTGGGCTGGATTCTGTTTGTTAAACAGAGGTTTCCAGAAATGAGAAAGTTCCAGACCATGTCTCCAAAAACTGAAGAATCAATAGCATATAGATCATTTATTCTGACAGCAATGCATCTGACTTAGAAACCAGTAAAAACACTAACAAAGACTGCCATATATTGGAAATTATTTTTAAAGATTTATTTATTTATTTATACAAGCACTGGGTACAGTCAGAAGCGCGGGAGGGTGAGAGAATTCACCAGAGCCAGAGCAGGGAACAGAACAGGTAGACTGACGAAATACACTGCTGAGGGGAGCAGCAGGCGGCAGGAGAGGTCTGGCCCGCCAGGTGGGACCCTTGCCAGTGGCTGGGGGTCGAAACGGCACTGCAGAGGCTGTGGGCAGCTTCGCAGCCCAGCTCTCAACTGTCGCCACCAGGGGAGGCCCTATATTGGAAATTTTTAAATCACCCTATTAAATATTTTATGCATGGACACAGAAATGATACGGAAATTAGAAAAGTCTGGAAAATGAATAACGAAAATCTGTCAAAACTTGATGCCACTGGAGTAACTCTTAGAGAAAAAGTTAAAAACATCAAAAAAAAAAAAAAAGAATTAATAAGATCCAACCTAAAATGTTCATGAAAAAACACTAGAATTACCCTAAAAATGTAGAAAGAAGAAAAAATTAAGGCAGATGAAGAATCTGATGACATAAAAAGGAAACATCCAAAAGATTATAATGGAGTTTTAGCTAACATATGCTCTCATCAAGTGAGCATCCCTGAAAAATATTTAGCTACAAAGAAAGCAGAGAATGAAGAGAATATAATAACATAACCACAAGTGAATAACAATATGGAAGAGCTGACATTTGTCACAATTCCTAGTACAAACTTTACAGAAAGAGGGGTCTCCCTGGTGGCACAACGGTTAAGCGTCAGCACTGTGAAGCTATCCGCAGTATCCGCAACTACTGCAGCACGAGTTCGATCCCCAGCTGGGGAGGTGACCCACATGGCGCAGCAGACCTCTCCTGACTCGCCCGCTGCTCCCCTCAGCAGTGTATTACAATAGATCAGCCTATTCTGCTCCCCACTCTGTCTCTGGTGAATCCTCTCACTACCCTCCCACCTCTGGCCTATACCCTAGTTCTTGTAGGCATAAACAAAAACAAATCTTTAAAAAAAAAAAAAACTTTACAAAAAGAAATTAAGTCCTCCTTAAAACACAAGCTAACAGACTTGAGTCATGAAAATATGATTTTGTAAATGAACTTTTGAAAACGTTTTCACTGTTTTTGCAGTTTTGTTGCTAACATTACAAGAACATGACACTTGTTAAGAACTCAACAAGTCACACTTTCGAAAACAAGAACAAAGAATCTGCTAACTTGTTTTTAAATCTTCTAAATGAAGAGTTTTGATGAGCTTTATACACGTGTGTGCATTAAAAAGGAAAAAACTGTGATATCTTGCTATTGGTTAACTAGAATAATTCACAGACAGCAGACATGATGGAAACTCACTAGCCAGATCTCTAGCCAAACACTTGCATAGTTGGTGGATATGGTAGAAAATGGCTAATAAAAGGAGCCGATGATGAATTTTTTTTCTCCATTTGATTTAAGAATCTTTGTGAATTAAATTTCTGGCTATGGTATCCTTTAAAAACCAAATGTTCAGGCATATAGATCAACAGAATTGAATTGAGAGTACAAAAACAAAACCTACGGATTTAAAAACCAGTTGATCTTTGAAAAGGGTATGGGAACATTCAATGAGGCAGGGACAGCATTTTCAACAAATGTGCTGAGACAACTAACTGTCTGCAATCAAAGTGAAATTGAATTCTTCTCACATGCTATATAGGATAAAAATTAACTCAAAATGTGTCGAAGACCTAATGAAACAGACTGGTGAAACATAAGTTTAAAGCTTCATGACTTTGGATGAGGCAATGGTTTTTAAGATACGACTCTAAAAACACAAGCTTCCAAAGCAAAGGCTTAGAGTCAAAGCCCAAACCTACTTTTGAATCCAGTGCCACTTGCTAGATTTATAGTCTTAGACACATTGCCTTTCTCTATGTCTCAGTGTTATTATTTTTAATGAGGATAATAACAACTACCTCACAAAGTTTTGTAAGAATTAAATGAAATATGTTTTAATGTATTTAATGTATTACCTGTACATAGTGGTCATTTGGTTACAATTGTCATCATTCTTGGAGATGGGGAAAACAGATGCATGGCCAACTAGGTCCCAACCTGGGTCTCAGTCCAAAAGGAGCTTAGAAAATTTCAAGGAAGGCACTTCAATGTGTGGGGGCAGGAAAGTGTAAGGCTGCAGTGGAAGGCCCTTGTGCCAGGGTTCCACTAGCAAGAGAATGTTTCATTCGATAATGCTTATCTTTAGTATTGAACTATAATAGCACCATTCTTCCCCTGGGAATTCTGTAAACATATGCTAATTAAGTTGGAAGATTAAGTACAGTGGAAATAGAAAGAGATTTTTAACATCTGGGCTATTGAAGTCTCATCTTCTCAGATCCTTTGAGTTGGGAGCCTCTAGTCAGTTTCACATCAACATTACAAAACAGCAGCCTCACCTCCTTCTCACACACCAGCCCAGTGTAGATGGTACTTGCCTGACAAGCAGTCTGGATGGCTTCCAACTCCCAAGCTTCTGTGCATCAGTATCTGTGGAAATCCTCTTCCTTTATGGACAAGATTGTCTTCTCCAATGCATAATGACTGTTAAATTTTTTTTCTGTAACTTCAACTGCCTTTCCCTATTACTCTTTAGAAGTTTAGCTTTTCTACCAAGGAGGCTGAGTTAATTATTGTGACCTACCGCAGACCTCTCCCCGCTCTGCTCTGGGAGAGTACCCCTGTCTCCCTGCTCCCATCCTTTGTGTCTTTGCCAGCACTTGAGGTTCCCACACCATCACTGCCCCTCATGTCATTTCAAAGGAAGAGGAGCAACAGCTTAATCACAAGGCCCAGTTAAGGTACCAATATTTTCGAAACGTGACTGTGGCCATTTGCCTTTCAGAAGAGTGTAGAAAACATGTGCAAAGTCACTTCACATGTCAGAAAGGATTTCCAACTTTTGGCAGCACCTGTGCTTCAGGCTGGTTGGTAGAAAGTTGAAAGGAACACAGCTTTGTACCCAAGCACCAGCGGAACTTGGTAGCAGACTACTATTTTTATTTGTTTGTTCGTTTATTTTTTAAAGATTTATTTATTTTTATACAAGAACTGGGGTACAGGCCAGATGTGTGGGAGGGTGAGAGGATTCACCAGAGACAGACTGGGGAACAGAACAGGCAGACTGAAGAAATAAACTGCTGAGGGGAGCAGTGGGTGAGACAGGAGAGGTCTGCCACGCCATGTGGGATTTTCGCCAGCAGGGATAGAACCAGCATGGCAGAGGCTGCGGACAGCTTCACAGTGCGGCGCTCAATCGCCTGCGCCACCAGGGAGGCCTGGTAGCAGACTATTTTTTTAAAATTAAAAAGACAGGAATTATACATGGAAGGATATGGAGGAAAGGGGAAAATAAGTAATATATTGCCTTTCCCACCAAAAAAATGTGTTTTGAAAATTCCTGCAGATAAAATTGTTAGGGCATGTGTTGACTTATTTTCATGGGTTCTATGTATTTTTGGGGCCCATGACCCCCTTCCACCATAATGGATTTTCATGGGTTCTAAGCCTTTTCTCTGGTCCTAAATTAATTTTTTTCTTTTTATTTCAAAAGAAACTTAAATAGTTTGGCTTCTAAAAGTATTCTGGGGTTCCAGGAATTATGTCTAGTAGGTAGTAATCCCCAGTTATATATCCCCACATATATAATTTATATATCATCCCCAATTTATATATATTATATATGTAAATTGTATATAATGTACACTTTTTAAAAAGATTTATTTATTTATGCATACAAGAACTGGGGTATAGGCCAGAGGTGTGGGGGGTGAGAGGATTCACCAGAGACAGAGTGGGGAACAGAACAGCCAAATTGATTGAAATACACCGCTGAGGGGAGCAGTAGAGAGTCAGGAGAGGTCTGCTGCACCATGTGGGTCACCTCCCTGGCCAGGGATCGAACTTGTGCTGCAGTGTCTGCTGATAGCTTCATAGTGCCTCCTCTTAACCCTTTGCACCACCAAGGAGGCCCCTATAATATATACTTTTATACTACAGTAGATGTAATATTTTGCTACAGTGGTTAAACATAGCAATCCTGGAACTAGGCTACCTGGTTTGAGTATAGGTCCCTTTCCAGCTATGTAACCTCAGGGAAGTTACCTAAAATTTTTGTGACTCAGTTTCCTTGTCTCTAAAATAGGAATAATGCTATCACCTAATTTACTAGGTTGTGGTTAAGGTTAAATGAGTTAACCTGCTAAGACCAATGACTGATACATAGTACTATATGTGTTAGCTAGTAACTTTATTAATTATTGCCATTATTAGGTGCTTAATACAGATTGACTGAAACAATGAATATTCTCCTTATGTCATGATATTATTTTCATCAGCATAATTCTTACTATTTTGGGGAAAGAGGAAAAGAAACCCAAACCTTTTAGGAGATAAGGCAA